GATGAGGGATTGAAATTTTTTTTTCTGACAACGACCTCGGTTTGGCAAAAAATCTGGCGCCTACGGCCCCCAAAATTTATAACCAAGACCCGAAACAACCAAGCAGAAGTTTCTCTCAGTCTACTAAATACAAAACTCAAAACAAGAGGGGTCGGGTTTTTTGTACCCCCCCCCCAGTCTCGTTTCCAACGGCCGCCAAATTACCACACCACTTCGAACAGTGGCAGGGTCTGACAGCAGACCCATTTATTCTAGATGTTGTTTCCGGTTTAAAAATTCCTTTTCGTTGCGTTCCTGTTCAAAAAACTGCACCAATGACTCAAGTCCGTTCAGAGTCAGAAACACTTATGGACAAGGAGGTGTCAGACCTTCTAACGAAAGGGGCAATTTGCGAAGTCCCCTTTGCCAAAGACGCTTATTTCTGTCGCATGTTCCTAGTTCCCAAAAAGGACGGCGGTATGAGACCGGTTATAGACCTAAGCTCATTGAATCAGTACATAGAAATACAACATTTCCAGATGGAACATCTTTCCTCGATAAAAACCCTCCTACAACAGGGCACTACATGACAAAATTGGACCTAAAGGATGCATATCTTTCGGTTGCAATTCATCCTCAATCACAAAAATACCTTCGGTTCTGCTGGAAAACCAAAACCTATCAGTTCAAAGCACTCCCCTTCGGCCTAAACATAGCTCCAATGATCTTCACTCGGTTAATGAAACCAGTAGCGAGCTACTTACGGAAGCGAGGGGTCCGTCTGGTAATTTACCTGGACGATATGTTAATTATCGGAGCATCTCCGGAAGAGACAAGCCAGTTCACGGTAATGGCAATAGAGTTATTGGAGTCCCTTGGTTTCATCATAAACAAGGAGAAGTCCATCATGACTCCTACTCAGGTGATCCAATTCCTGGGTTTCATTATCAATTCGAACACAATGATGATTTTGCTACCCCAGGAAAAGATAAACAAACTGCAAACATTGTGTCGTCAAACCCTGAAAATCGAGAAACCTGCATTAAGGAGCATAACTCAACTGTTGGGGTTACTAGAATCTTACCGTCCAGCAATCTGAAAGGCTCCTCTTCACTTTCGTTTTCTTCAAGCTCTGCTTATTCGCAACCTACACACTTCAGATCACAATTACGAGACGAGAATTCAACTTCCAGGCAAACAGAAAGCGGAAATCCAATGGTGGTTTCAGAATATTATGACAATCAATGGCAGCCCAATTACGGTGCCTCCCCCGGATGTAACGATATTTTCCGATGCCTCGAAACAGGGGTGGGGGGGGGGCAGTCACCAGCAGTTACCAAACCAACGGAAAATGGTCTGCCACCGAGAGGTTGTTACACATCAATATTCTCGAACTCAAAGCTGCCTTTCTAAGTCTAAAGTCCCTCTTGAAGAACCATCGTTCAATGACAGTGTCACTGAACATGGACAAGTCCACCTCGGTTGCTTACATAAATCACAAGGGGGGCACCCACTCATTGCAATTACTAGAGCTGACATTAGAACTGTGGGATTGGTGCAATCAGAGGGACCTATTTGTCATAGCCCACCACCTTCCAGGGAAGCTCAACATTCACGCAGACCTCGAATCCAGGCAGTTTCTGGACAACAGCGACTGGATGATCGATCCCAAAACTATAAAACCGTTCCTGAAGAACTGTCGGACGGATCTCTTCGCCTCTCGTCTAACACGACAACTAACAAATTACATCAGCTGGAGACCAGACCCAGAGGCTCACCATTGGGATGCCTTCACGGTGAGCTGGAAGGGACTTGCGGGATATGCTTTCCCTCCCTTCTACTTGGTCCCCATGGTCCTCAAAAAAGTCTTGTCGGACCAGACAGAGATTCTCTTGATAGCTCCAATTTGGCAAGCTCAGCCTTGGTGGCCTCTGTTACTCAGTCTTCTTGTACAGCAACCTGTCCTGCTACCAAACAACAAACATCTCTTGAAGGATCCAACCGACCCTTCCTTGATTCACCCGATGTACCCACGTCTACATTTGGGCGTATTTCACATCTCGAACGACGTTACCAGGCAGAGGGCCTTCCTGAACACGTTAGCAAACTACTCATTTCAGCCACTCGTAGTTCCACACGAAAAACCTACGAATCTAGCTGGCAGCGTTGGAGCCGCTGGTGTTCTACAAGGCAAATTAATCCAATTTCATCAACTTTGAGCGACGTCCTTACATTTTTGGCGGACTCGTTCATACGGTAACAGCGTACTTTAAGCAAATGAGAGACAACGCCACTCTTAAATTGAAACAGCTTTCCCTAAAGTTGGCAACTCTCTTTGCCTTGACATGCCCTAAGAGAGTCTCCTCTCTCTCAAATTTGGACCTTAATGATTACAAGTTATCCCCAGAAGACTTAACTTTCACCTTATTTACTACAAAGACAACTCGTGTAGATGAAACCGTTCCTGCGTTTTATACTTGTTTCTCAGATGACAAAAGGTTATGTCCGGTAGCTTGTTTCCAACAAAACATCTCAATGACGGCTGAATTTAGAAGAATTATGAAGGACCATCCCAATAAGTTGTTTCTTTCATTTATTAAACCTCACAAACCAGTTACTCCATCAACACTAGCCCGCTGGATTCGCTCACTGCTGGGCCAGGCTGGGATAGACACTGAGATTTTCAAAGCACATTCAGTAAGAGGAGCAGCAACATCAGCTGCTGCTAATGGGGTCAGTTCCGTTAGAGGAGATCTTAAAGATAGCCGGCTGACTGGAATAAGGAATCGACTTTCAGACAATTTTATTATAGACCAATGGTATCAACACCAAACTTTGGTCGTGTTGTGTTAAACTAATTGTAAACAAGTCTTTAGACTTATTGTATCTACAGAGCTAAATAATAAAGTTCTTTTTGGCGGTTCACCATTGTAGTGTTAAACTCTACCGCTAGTATTCTCATATATTTCGACCGGAGTTCCCGAAATATAATTCGAATTATACTAGGGCTGTTCCAGCCTGCAGGTATAATTTAGGTTATATGAGGAAAGAAGGGAGAAATATATTATTACCACCCTTACACCCGCCCATTTCATCTCAGGGTTAAATAAGCCACAGGTGGATTATGGGACGGATCAGATCAGGGGGTTGTTGGGGTTTTTACCAGAGATTTCTTTGGGTTAAAATGTGATGTGAAGCACAGATTGGTAAGCCATACCGCTAGTCCGAACATCTTACGGAAGGATGCCGAGGATGTCCGGCGCCGTGCGAGGGTACTAATTCCACACGGCTAATTATACCCGGGTATGTGAAAACATAGCGGAGTGCAAAGCACTGGTGCAAAGTTGTCCTCCATTTTGTAAAGGCCATGTTACACTACACGGTGCAATTTTTCTTGCAACTTGGAATGCAATTCTACTCTTGAGAGATGTAAAATTGCCAAATACGAGTCTTCATTACACTCCGCTGATGTTTTCTCAACATATCGAAAATTCTTCACTGATTTCACTAATTAACATCTCTCAAGGGTAGAATTGCATTGCAAGTTGCAACCGTGTAACATGGCCTTTAAGGCCGTCATAATATTAATTATGAAATTATATGTTGTGTACTGTAGGTTTTTGTTGGCCTTGGCTTTCCTTATGAAGGACCGGCACCTCTGGAGGCAATTGCAAATGGGGCAGCATTCTTAAACCCGAAGGTTAGTCTTTGTATATTTATCACTGATCTGTACTAAGACTGGATAACGCATCTATAGTATGTCATGGATGGTTTTCGACGTTATGGGCATGCGCGAGTACAAGCTCTGTCTAAGTAATTGTTTTTCATTTTGAAAGGACGTATTTTGCTGTTTTACAGCAATTTTTTGTTTTAAATTTCGTTAAAAAGTTTACAAAAGTACATCACGGTTTTTTTCTCGATTTTAACTGGAAATAAGCTTGCAGTTTCATGAATTAGTGACTGTTCAACCGTGAAACAAAGATCGTATAATAATTGTTTTGATGTTGATGTCTTTGATAATTTAACTGATCGTTGTTGTGCCGGTTTGGGTAAGTGTACACATTTCAGTAGTAAAATTCCATGCCGTACTTGCTTTGTGTTGTCGGTTTTATTCATATCAGCGAAATTTTTAAGCCATTCTTAACTGCATGATAGTCACTGTAATGCAAGATGCATGAAATTGCAGTGAATGTTATTGTTCATTATCGTTCATTATCAAGCTAGCGCATCAGTTGTGTTTTTCAGTGTTTGTTTATTAAGATCTTAATACTTTATGTGGAGTTTTTATTCTTCATCTATTAACTGAAAGGCGAGGGGTTGCTGCATGCATGTATTTTCTAGTTATAATATTATAGACGAAATGAAATTCAAGGGAGGCAATAATTAAGAATTAAGACAGGTATTTTCATGGGGAGTTTTGTAGATATAACGAATAAGTTTGAAGACAGCATTGAAGTCTCGAATGGTTGTAAAATCTCGAATGGTTGTAAAATCTCGAATGGTTGTAAAATCTTGAATAGCAGTAAAATCTCGAATAGCTGTAAAATCTCGAATAGCTGTGTCGAGAATGTTTCGCCTCCAAAACTACGTTGTCCTCGACAAGTCACAAGTTCAAATAATAAACTTTAATATAATATATGAATCACACGTTCACAATGAATCACACTTTTCGCTTCGTAGTCACTGTCACACTAACACTATTCCCTCGTTTTGATTAAATGACGTCACATAATTTACCCTATAATTAATCCCTATACTCAAATTACTTAATCTGTCAGTTTCCAACACACTCCCCCATATAGCTCCATGAGGAGATATATGTCCATTTGAGACTGACTTTGTTGTAATTATTTGCTAAACAAACATATAAAGTTAATTAATTAATCAAATAAATGTTCTCATGCATGTATATACTATTTTAACGTTTGCTTTGGTGTCAAAACTCATTCTCATCATCTGCTATTGTGGTCTGTATTCGCAGTCTTGCTGCAACTGCTGCGTCTCTGGCGGCTCTAGGTTGGAAAGAGGGTGCTGTTGGGTTGGGTTTTCGGAAATTAGTTTCGTCGCAGGTCAACTCGAGGGGGTACAAATGCTGCACTGCACGCTCCAACTCTCCATTGACTGTTCGTAACTTGGCTCCCCGCACGACGCCATCTTTACCTTTAATCAGCTCCGAGACTACCCCGAGTTTCCATGTGTTCCGATTTTTGTTTTCGCCCTGCACAATAACCGCCGATCCTTTTCTTGGGCATGTCGCTTGTTTCCCCGCTGCGTTGACATGACGTTCGCGTAAACTTCTTACGTACTCGCGAGACCAACGTCGCCACATAGCTCGCTTGCATGTTTTCAAAAATTTCGCCCGCTTCCGAAGATCACTTTCTTCCAAATATTTCGCTTTTAGTTCAGGTAATTGACTTGCTGGGTTGATATTCAACATAGAGTTGGGCGTTAAGACTGGAAGCTCGACATCATCCTCGAGGTAAGTCAAAGGGCGATTGTTGAGAGCCACCTCGACGTCTAGGACAACATCCTCCAATTCTTCAAACGTAAGGGTACCATTACCGATGATTTTGTGAAAGGCACGTTTGAACAACCCAATGAGCCGTTCAAACTGCCCTCCCCACCAGGGCGCTCGACTCAAATTGAATTTCCATTCAATCATTCGGTCAGAAAGGAATGAATTCAACTTTTCCTCACGCTGGACACGTTCCAACCATTTCTCCGCTGCCTTGAATGTAGAACCATTGTCGGAATAGATTAGTTTTGGTCGTCCGCGTCGTGCTATAAACCGCTTGAGACTCGAGAGGAACTCGTTTAATTCCATGGAATGAAGCACTTCAAGATGTACAGCCCTGACTAGACTGCACCCATACAGGACGAGGTACGCCTTCTTCGTTGCTTTCCCTTTTGTCCGATACCGAATCGGACCGGCAAAATCGACACCGATAACTTCAAATGGCGTGGAGCCCTGCGTTCGGGTAACTGGCAGACTTCCAGGTGGAGGGTTTTCGTACGATTTCACTCTAAACCGTTTACAACCCCAACAATCGCTTCGCACTCTTTTCACCAGCTGTCGCAGTTTGGGAACCCAATACGTATCTCTGACTTTGGCCATCGTCATACTAACCCCACCGTGAAGTGTTGAAAGATGGGCATCTTCGATCAGCTTGCGGGTAAAGGGTTGATTTTGGGGAAGGAATACAGGATAATCTCCTTCGATTCTTCCACGGCATTCGAGGATCCCTTCCGGGTTGGGTTGCAGATTTAACTGAATTCTCACAGTGTCGAATTCGTCGCTAGTCATGGCATCTTGCTGTGTTCTTAGGGTCCACCATAGATACTGATGTTGGATTTCACTTGTCTTAAGGGGGCCGGTTTCGCGCTCATCGATAGGGCACTTCGAATTTGTGATAAACCGTCTTATTCACGCTCCGACTCGAAGGATCTTACGTAAGCTGTAGGCTTCGAGGAGGTCATTCATTCTATCTCCATCTATCGCCGTTGTTGTGCCGAGAATTCTTTTCACAGCTTTCGCTTCGGTGCTCGATATTGGAGTGGATTCGATAACTGCAGGCGTAGGCCATTTGTTCGGGTCACATAACCATTCTGGACCGTTTACCCAGATGTCGTTGTTGACCGTACTTCCACCGCGACTACCGATGTCCGCAGGGTTTTCCTTTGTCGGTACATAATGCCATTGAATGTGACCGTGATCTTGAATCTTCCTTACACGATTAGATACGAATTGACGGTATTCTCCGCTTCCGTTAATCCAATGAAGGGCGACGGTAGAGTCACTCCAACAATGGGTTTCGATCTCGTCACAGTTGCTGATAACCTTTTCGACATTTGACACAAGATTAGCGGCCATGTGCGCTGCAACAAGCTCGAGGCGAGGGATCGTAAGATTTTGCTTCGCCAAACGTGACTTTGCACAAACTAAACCTTGAGTTTTGATCTCCCCTTGCTGCACCACTGCATGCACGGCTGGCGACACACCAGACTTACTCGCATCGCCGAAGGCGTGGAGGGCAATGGCTGAAATACGTTGGTGGGATGGGGCCAAGGTGCGAGGTATGGTGAATTTCTCTGAAATGAGCGCTCCCCATTCTTCCCACCGTTGTTTGAATCGCTCGTTAAGCTCGCCATCCCACGGAAGCTTCGCTTCGCACATCTCACGATACAGCATCTTTGCAATTAGCGTAGATGGAGACACTAAACCGAGTGGATCGTAAACCTTAGCGAGTTCCGATAGGGCTTCACGTTTCGTAGATATGTTCTTTTGGGGCGAGGTAGGAATGGTTAAGGTATCTTCTGTTTTATTCCACGAAAGTCCTAAGATTTTCGTCTCGCATTTGTGTGGTCCGAGCTGTTGCTTAGCGTAAGTCAAATCTTCGAATGGGCTTGGCAGGTCGTGGCTTTCCAAAGTGGAATCGTCCGAGTGGGACGAGTGCCACTTGTGAAGGTTGAATTTTGCGTCCTTGAACACCTCGACTGCCTGCAATCTCTTCGTTCTCACCGATTGCGCGTTCTCTCCCCCTGTAATTAAATCATCAACGTACAAATTGTCACGAATTTCCTTTACCAATTCCGGATATTTGGTTTCCCAGTGCTTTAAATGCTCGTTGATGACTCCTCCAAGTAAAAACGGAGAACAGGTCAAACCAAATAATGCTCGAGTGAACCGATAAACCGTTACATCATCACTTTCAGGATTCTGTCACAGGAACCGCAGGACGTCTCGTTCTTCGGCTTTTATTCGCACTTGAAGAAATGCCTTTTCAATGTCACTCGTTAACAGGACAGGATAAAATCGTGATCGAACGAGGATTTCCCATAAAAGGTTCTGTAATGACATAACCCCTTTCTTGCGAGAATTTTCTTACGCTCGCTTGTCTCAACGATTTTCTCACATTGTATTGCTTTATGGCCAGTGTCCCCGCAATAAACGCATCCCTTTATTCTAACGTCTTCCCCCCGTGCGTTAAACAGTTTTCTACGAGTGTTCTCTTCTCGTTCCTTGAGACATGTCCAATACCTATGCAAGATGTCCAATGGAATAATAGTAGTAGTAGAACTTTATTTATCCACGCTGACCCCGTCAACCGTAGCTGATTTCCACGGGGGGCGTGTGCCAGAAAATTATTTTACATGCAGAATATGATAAGGATAAGCTAAGCTATTACAGTAATATATAAATTTAAAAGATATAATAAATGTTTTGAGCTATTTACAGGTAATTAAGTTATATTTACAAAGGTTACCAAGCACTAATGTGAGCAGCGATTTTATTTCGAAAGGAAGAAAGTGACTTACTTTCCCTAATTTCTTTTGGTATAGAATTCCAAATGTTTGCTCCGTCGTACATAAAACTATTTTTCATGCTATTTGTACGTGGTTTTGGTAAATAAAGACCACTTGAGACATCCCGAAGGTGGTAATTAGTTTTCTCACTCTTAAACGAAAATAGATTTGTGAGTGATTTTGGGCCCATTTTGTTTAATAACTTATGCATCATTCGTGCTTTAGTTTTCTTCCTTTCAGTTTGGAGTGGCTCCCAGCCCAAAGTACGTAACGCAATCGTATAATCTACGTCATTGCTTATATTCAGAATAATTCTTGCCGCTCTATTTTGCAGTTTTTGCAGTCGTTTTGATTGAGTTTCGCCAAATACATCCCATACTTCACAGCAGTAGTCAAAGTACGGACGAACAATAGTGTTATACATCAAAATAAGTGTATCTTGATCAACAAATGGTTTGATCCGACGAATAGCAGAGATTCCTGCTGTAACTTTTTTGCAAATATTTTCGGTATTACTTTTCCAAGATAAATGCTGGTCAATTGTTACTCCTAGAGTTTTGCATTCATGAACTTGTTTAATTTGTATATTTTCAATGTAAACATTTGGGCAAGAATCAAAAATATTTTTGATCATAGGTTTAGAGCCAATCAACATAAACTCTGTCTTAGCTACATTGAGGCTAAGTTTATTATTAACCATTTTCTAAGGTTCTCTAAATCAGAATTTACTGCAGTCTCTAGGTCAGTCATAGAATTTGCTGAAGCAGTCAAATTTGTGTCGTCAGCAAACAACCGCGGTTTTGTTTTGTTTAGACAATGTGGCAAATCATTGATGTATACAACAAAAAGAATAATGGCCCTAATATAGAGCCTTGTGGTACACCACATTTAATCAAGCGCTCAGATGAAAATGAGTTTTTTATTTGGCACTTCTGGTTTCTGTTTGTGAGATAGGATTTGAGCAAAGTTAGAGCTTGTTCTTTTATTCCATAGAGCTCTAATTTGTTCAGCAGAATTTGCTGATCAACAGTATCAAAGGCTTTCTTCAAATCAATTAAAACTACTAGGTTAAACATTTTTCTGTCTAGATTTACATACCAATCATTAGTACAGTCTAGTAG